GCCGGTTGCTGGAAGTTAACATAAGCATAACCGAGCGAACGTCGGGTAATCATATCACGACAGACGCGTATCGAGAGTACAGGCCCAGCTGATGAAAACTTCTCGAAAAGCATCGCCTCGGTGATATCACTATGCAAGTCACCCACATAAAGTGAGGCCATAGGGTAATTCGGAGCTCCCGGATTCATTGTAATAAGTTCAAAATTCTCTGGTTTTTGGTTTCTCTCGTTCCTTCAATATGGCTTGCGCTCTTCCGACCACGTTGCTCTTTGTAACACAATGATTACTATTTTTTTCCACACTTTACTTACGTTTCGCGGTTTTCAGCTACGGTTTTTCGATTTTTTTGTTTATATTTTTATAATTTTTATATTTTTTTTGGTTTTTTTTTTTATAGAAGAGTTATTTCACGAATGGAGGTGGGTTGTGTGACCTATTTTGTGGAAAAAGGAGACACAACCACACGTGAACACAACTCTACTCTTAATGAGGAAGAGGCATTGAAAGTAGTTCCCTTCGTGCTTATATACTAACCACTGTACACACTACACGCCAGAAAAGTAGTTCCTTTTATAAATTACAGCGCCATCTATTTAAATCTAGGGTACTTTAAATAGTTCTATATGATAAAATATGCATTTTATTTTGATAAATCAGTTATAATATAATACAATTTTTAATATAGAAATATCAATTTTGTAAATATTTTTAAATATATTAAATATTTCTCATTTTATTTTAAATATACATATCTGAATAGTAATAAATAAGTATCGCACTTTATATAGTTTATAATTATACGTTTATTTAATTATAAGAAATTTATAATAATAATTTATTATAATAATAATTTCTTTAAAACATTATAATTTATATAACTGCAAAACTATAAAATAATTTTTGAATTACATTAAAACTAGCTATTATATATCATATTAGGGATTTATTAAGATAAGGTAGGTATTCATGCAGTAAGATATCTTAAACTTTATTAAGTCAAAGGTAGAAAAAGTACAAAAAATAGTATTTTCGAACAAGTGCGAGTAATTTAATTACGTACATAAAGAACGTAGAATGACAACTTATTTAATAAATTATTTATTACGTAAATTTCGTAAGTAAATTTTTAATTTATAAAATTCCATAAATAATATTCTTATATAATCATATATATTATATGTAATATGTTATAACATATATATGAATATATATATTAAATATTGTATTTTTATAGCAAATTTACAAAAATGGGCATATGAAGCTGCAGGATTTAATCAATATGGTATAAAATATTTATATATATTAATATAATAGTTATTATATGTTCTCAAATTCAAATTTCATTATTCTATGATATAAAGTACAATATATTTTAAACATAAATTTAGTAAATCTTATTTTAATTTCAATATTCTAATTCTTATAATTTTATATAAATCTAAAGGTTTACATCGAGATGATATTCTTCATGAAACTGAAGAAGTACGAGAAGCATTAAAGCGAGTACCACCTCATATAGTAGAAGAACGTGATTTTCGAATTATTAGAGCTATGCAATTAGATTGTCAAAAGAAAATTTTACCAAAAGAACAGTGGACTAAATTTGAAGATGTAATTTCATATAAATTATTTAGAATTTAATTTTTATATACTTTTGTATGATTCTTTATATTTTAATTTAAAATATTAATATCTAATTTTTATTACTAAATAGGATATTCTTTATCTAACACCCATTATAGAGGAAATCAGAAAGGAACGTGAAGAAAAAGAAAGATGGAACGCAGAATAATATAATAATATAATAACATAATAGTGAATGTCATATTCATTTTACATTTAAATTGTAAGTTCAAAATGTAGTAATTTGTATATATGAAATATAAATATTAAATAAATTAATTTGTTTAATTAAATTCTATTATTTCAAATACAATAGTTATAATATAAAAAAAATATATTTGAATTAAAATAATTATAATCACAAAAAATAATTTAACATAATTGAATAATTTTTTATAAACATTATATGTTAAATTATTAATAAATATTAAAAACTAAATAAATTATTGTGCATTTATTTATGTTTATTATATATATATTGTATACATTACAATTTATTTTATATTTCTTTAATTATTATATATATTTTATTTGCATTAAATATATCTTTTATTATATCGTAAATATCAATTATTTAAGTTATATAATTATTAATAATAATATAATTATATAATTAGTTATATAATTGTTAATAATGTTTAATTGTGATTTTGATGTTTGGATATTTTTATTCCCAATATGTATAGAAAAAAATGATTATTAATAATTATGTTTGTATCAATTGATACATTTAACATCTTTTATACAATGATTCATTCATTATTCCTTTTAAATTTGCTTTGTACAATTAATGCGTAATACACTGTTAATAAACGCAATAATAATAAATATAAATCCTTAAAATTCCAGAATGATGATAGAATGATGAAAGATAGAATCAATTGTTCATCATTTATATATAAAAGATTTGCGATGTAGTAAATAATTTTTGCGATTATTTATAAGAGTTTCGCGGGCAAATGGCGGATCAATATTTCACCCCCACGCGGATCTGAGCGGCATCCCCAATTACTAAAGATTTATACAAAGTAATTTGAGTTTTGTGAGTAAAAAATATATTTTAATTTTTTCTTTTTTTTCTTAATAAATTTAAATATTTTTTTTATATTTTTTGAGTATATAATATATATTGAGTTTTTAAAAGGAAAGTTTTAAAATGCCTAAAAACCTACATGAAAGATCGTATAAAGAATGAAACAAATAGTGATAATTGAGAAATACAACATAAAATATTGTTGTATATAGTACAGTTAAAAACTTTAATTATTCTAAACAATTATTTTTTTTTTATTCATACATTTTGTAAAAATAATACGTTATCTTCAAATTTTCCTTGTACTCGTATCTATATCTCTTTTGTAACGGATTGAATTTTCATTTTCAATCATACGTATAAGAAGAAAAAGAAAAATGTTCGTTTAAGTTAATTTTATTAGAATTGTGTATTTTAATCGAAATATCAAGTGTTACTACGTGAAAGGAGAAAAGATAACAACATCATCCTTTCGAAATCAAACGTGAGAAAATTGATAAATTATTTTAGCATAACACTTAAATTTTTTTTATGGATATTGAAATACTTCGTTGTTTAGACATCATTTTAATATAATTACAATGTGTATACGAAGGTAATTAAATATTAAAAAAATATTTGCATTATTCTTAAGAATTTTTATATTTTATATGGCGAATTTAAAGAATCCATATATATTGCATCAAATATTTGGTTAATTGCAGATGCCGGAAAAACAGCAATCAGTGTACTTTCAAAGAAGAAAATCGCTGATATTGAATCTTTATAAAATTGATTATAATATTTTATATTTAATACAAAATAAAACATTTAGCAAGTTTACACAATAACTTGATGCTATTAAGCATTCTAATTATATGTTATTGTATGAAAAAAACAATGCTACATATATCAGGTGCTGCGCCAAAATACTACCTCTGCTGTGTGTACAAAGTTATAAAATTGATTGTTTTAGAAGTAAAATAAAAATATTAGACATATATATGTAAAAATATATATATATATATATATATACATCTAATATATACATATATAAAAATTTAAATATAAATGGAGAAATATATTCTGATTTATAAGTATTTACATATGACTATATAGCAAATGAAACTGGAAATTCTTCCCTAATCTATGTTCTCTAATTTGATAATTATAATCTACAAACAATATGACAAGAGAACACTTTATAATGATATTACTCTACTGACAAATGTATAAAAATAAAAAAAAAACCTATATATTAATAGCTCAAAGAAAATAGTTATTAGGTAAATAAAAATGAGCATACCGTATGATGAAAACTTGGTATGGATAGTAGTGGTTGGATTCTTAGTGGCCTTTATTTTGGCATTTGGAATCGGAGCAAATGATGTCGCAAATAGTTTTGGAACAAGTGTTGGTGCAGGAGTACTTACGATATTTCAAGCTTGTATTTTAGCAACTATCTTTGAAATTGCTGGGGCTGTACTCATTGGCTATAAGGTATTTTAAAAATTTATATATTTTATAAATTTTATTTCATAATATATATTATAATATTATTCAAAATATATCAATTGATACTTGCTTTAGGTTTCTGATACTATGAGGAAAGGCATATTAGATGTGACATTATATGAAGGCCAAGAAAAAGAATTAATGGTAGGAGCATTATCTAGTTTAGCTGGATCTGGTATCTGGTTAATACTAGCAACAGCTTTGCGATTACCTATTTCTGGAACACATTCCATTGTTGGTGCTACAGTTGGTTTTTCACTTGTCTGTAAAGGTACTGCAGGGGTTAGTAAAATTACTGTATTAATTTTAAAATAAATAAAGAATATTTCATAATAAGTATGTTTATAGGTCAAATGGATAGCTCTTGCAAATATAGCAGCTTCTTGGTTTGCAAGTCCTGTACTTAGTGGAATTGTATCAGGTGCTATATTTTGGGTTCTAAGAAAATCAGTATTTGAATCTAATAAACCTTTAGAACAAGGTCTTTATATTCTCCCATTAGCATATGGACTCACTGTTGCTATTAATATTATGTCAGTAGTACATGATGGACCTAAACGTAAATAAATTTTATATTTGTATTTTAATAAATTAACATTATTTATTTAAATCAAATATTATTTTATTTTTATCTGTTTCAGTTTTGATGTTAGATCAAGTGCCATGGTGGGGTAGTTTACTTGCTGCATTAGGTTTTGGTTCATTTTCAGCTATCATTGTTTATTTATTTGTTGTACCATGGCAAAGAAAAACAATATTACTTTCATTAAGTAGCAACGAAAAAACAACAACAACTAAATTTGGTACCTGTAATAAAAAAGAAACAACAGCACTATCTGTTATTTCTGAAGCCCCATGTAGTAGTAGTAGTAATGGTAATGCAAAAGAAGTAGCGCCAAAATTACGAGGCAATAGCAGTGCAAGTCCTCTCTTAATGGTAGCAGGATCAGATACTGAGGGTGCTCAAATTGAAACTGAAAAGAAAAACGAAGAACCACCAGAAATATCTAAACTTTTTGCATTTTTGCAAGTATTAACTGCAGCATTTGGCAGTTTTGCTCATGGTGGTAATGATGTCAGTAATGCAATTGGTCCACTTATTGCACTTTGGGCTATATATGCAGAAGGATCAGCTAGACAAGAAGCAGAAACTCCATTGCTTATATTACTTTATGGTGGTTTAGGCATATCAACTGGTCTTTGGGTATGGGGACGCAGGGTGATACAAACTTTAGGACAAGATTTAGCACGTATTACACCAACTACTGGATTTACTATAGAGGTCATATATATTTTATAATTATAATAATAATATAAAACAAATTATAAAACAAAATAATATTTATTTTGATTAATTATTATTAATTACACATGAATTATAGCTAGGAGCAGCAGTAACAGTTTTGTTGGCAAGTAAGGCTGGTTTACCTGTGTCAACAACTCATTGCAAAGTCGGATCTGTTGTCTGTGTAGGATGGGCTTCACATGGTGGTGAGGGAGTTTCATGGAAATTATTTCGTAATATTGCATTTGCATGGTTAATTACTGTACCAGTGGCTGGCTGCTTGTCTGCAGGATGTATGGCTATTTTTAAGGAAATAATTAGTTTGTGACTCTTCATTATCAGAACAACTAATCCATTTTAGTGAAAACCATCCAATGCTACTGTTGTCAATAATTTATGCAAAAATAAACGATCAAATATAATTTGACTTAGTTATTCTTTATCTATAGTTATATTAAATATTTTATTATATACTTTTATAACAAAAAGTTACATGAAATAAAAATTAAAGTTGTTACATCAATATCAATTAGTGTTGTTATAGAAACCAAATCAAATTAGTAACTATACAATTTAATATTCTATAAAAATGTCTTTTAAATACATATTTTATTAAACATTTTTGATATGGAAAACCTACCACTTTTACCAGGTTATAGATTTCAAGATCCAAGCGTAAGTCAGCAAAATACTTATAAATTAATTATTATAATTATCATATTAGAATGAAATTTAAGTGAAAACATATCTTTTTAAAGATCAAAGACTATAGATTATTACAAAAATTTCATTTTTTAAATGGTTATCGTGTAGTACGTGATAGAAACGCTGGAATTGGAGGAAGACCAATAGATGTTGCATCTAGTGCATATGTAAAAGAAGAAGATTCTGCACAGTAAGATAAATAAATATAAATGCAAAAATATAACTTTCATTTTTATAAAATCTAATCTTTAAAATATTTTTTAAATTTAATATAAATTTTAAACTTCGTTAATTAATAATATTAATTAATATTTAGTTATGATCCATCATTAACATATGGTCGCGTAAAACAATATGCATATGGACAATTTATTCCACATTATGTGCATTTTGCGCAAAAATGTCTTTGCTTTAAAGCATTTTTTCGCCAAAGTGTATTTAACTCTCCAGACGAACATTTCCGTATACGTCATGTTAATATATTATATTATTTGGAAGATGATACTTTATGTATTATTGAACCGACAGTTAATAATGCTGGCTTTCAACAAGGAAAACTTGTTAGACGCAATAAAATTGTAAAAAATGTAAATGGCGATACATTTCATTGGAAAGATTTTAATATTGGAATTGATATATGTAAGTTAATAAATATCTTTACATATGATGATATGTGCTTCCCACAAATATTGTTTATTAAAAAACAATAAAGACTCCCAAATTTTATTCAATTTATCTTATTAACTAAATAACAATATATTCATATTTGTTCTTTACAGATTTTTATATATTAACTGTGTGTTTATAATTAATTAATTTTTATTATTTGCAGGTATTTATGGTGTAGTTTATCACATTACTGATTGTGACTTATTTACTAGAGAATTTTTAAATAGTCAAGGAATAGATGTTGGAGATAAGGAAGAATCTCCTATAGATCCTTATATAGAACTAAGAAAAGATAAACAGAAAATATCAACATGTATTACAAAAATTCCTGATGATGTTAGACGGCGGTTTTTAGAATATGATAAAATGGTATTATTGTTTATTGCAACCTGGAATAATGATGTTTATCATATTACATATTTCTTGACGGACGATACGATAGCTGTTCGTGAAATACAGAAACCCAATAGCGGAAAAGATCCTGTACCAATGTTATTAAAAAGAATGAAAGTACCAAAAGATTGGAAAAATTTACCATTGTCGTATCCAGCTATATATATGGAATACGGCGATCCAGAGATTACCGAATATTATACACCAAAAGATTTTTTAGTCAGTTTATAAATAATTTTAAAAATATCAATATTCTTTTAATTATTTTTTCTACTTATAATTTTTTTTATTGCAGATAGGAAATACGATTTTTATATTTAATCGACGATTTCTTTTACATGATTGTGATTCTTTCACACGGAAATATTATTCAGATATGTTAGGAATAATACAACCAGAAAAAATTCCTCTTCCAACAGAAGATGATGTTACGATCTTACCGGAATTTAAATCACCACCGCATATAATTTTCGGTACACCTGAAGATACTTACGCTTCTTGTTTATCATTTATACCAGAACGTCCTAAAAAAGATGTTATTCGACAACTTGTTAATTTTCCTAAAAAATTACGTTATTCTATGCAAATGGATGTGATACATCCAGAAGACAAAAATCGCGATTTCATTTTAGAATATAGTTTAAGTAATGGTACAATACTCATACAAGAACTTGAAAAACGTAATTCAGGACGTCGCGAAGGTTGTTTTCTCAGAGCTACACTGGTTCCAAAACCGAAAACTGGAAGAGATGATCCAGAATATTATACTCCTCAAGATTTTTATATTGGTGCAAAAATTAATATTTTTAATCATTATTTCATCATAACTGGTACTGATCTCTTTGTATATCGTTATATTGAAACAAATCCTGAAAAGTTTCCACTAGAAGTACGAAATAGCATTCGTAATTATTTAGTCAAACAGAATTTACTTTTTGATGATATAAAAGTAGAGACCAAAAAAATTCAAGATAAGGAGGATATGAAACTACAGTCGATAAAACCGGCTGAAGTTAGTATTAAAAGAGATATTGATATGGAAGAATGTGTGGAACATTTTGAAGCTCAAACTAAGTGTAAATATGAAGGAGAACATGGTGAATTAAGACCACGTACACCACCACCAGAAGAACTTTGCCCAAATTTAGCAACAAAACCTACACAATTATCTCAACAATGTCCAAATATATTTACCGAAAATAAAATAAAAAAGCGAATAACATGGGATGATGAAGTGGAACAATAATATTATTCCTATCAATAATTACATTCAACATAATATTTTTAACGAATCTGCATACATTAATTTATCGCAACTAAAGATTTTTTTTAATTCAAGTTTTTTAAACTATATTAATAAAATACAAGATATAATTATGAAAAATAAATATCGTATATATATATTACGTTGAATGTAATTATTTATTATTTTTTATTATGTTTCGACTACAAAATCAAAACTAAATTGAATAAATCATATTTTCTAGAAAATTCATTGTCTGTATACATGGTATAGTTCATGTGAATATTAAAATTCATAGTTCAATTCAACATTTAATCAAATACGATCATACAACGTAAATACTAGTAAATACTAAACAATATGATACATTATCAAATATACTATTTGTATGTCTGCATATTATAATGTAATAATAATATACAGATATGCAGTTTGTATACATATGCATATGATGCACATGTTTGTATGCATATGATTTATTAATCATAAAATAAAAATAAAGTTTAGATAAATCTTTGGAATCTAAACAAAATTTTAAAATATTGAAAAAGAAATTATTGTTAATATTAAATTTAAATTTTTCATAAAATAGTTTTTAGCAAGTTGTTTAATAAAATCTTTTAAGTATTGCTTGACTGTAAAATACGAAAATTTAATATAGTTTAGTTTACATTTAATTATTTCTAGTTATTCAAATATTAATATCTATGAGTAATTTATTCCATTTTAAATAAACTGAAATAATTCAAAAACATTGGCTAAAAAATTTTAACATTGATACATTAGTTTAATAAAATAATTTACTTCTGAAATAATAAAATGTATTTAGTTCTGAAATATTCACAATATAGAAATAAAAAAAATTTTTCTCGTACGTTATTCTCTTTTTTGTTACTAATTGTATTTGTTATTGTACTTGTTATTAATTATATATGCAAAAGTAATTATTTAAGTAATATTACAAAATTATAATAATATAATTCTTTCATAAATTTTGTACGATTTTTTGAAAAAATAAAATTAAATGAAAATTTTATATTACTATTTTATGATTAAATCTTGTATAAAATCTTATTATTTATAACATGCTTTTAATTTGCGCAATGAAATATAATTCTTATAAAATTTAAAAAACAAATTTCATTATTTTTCTGTTTTTTTTTTATCATTTTCTACAAATTAATTTCTACGTATAATTATATGTAAATGTATACATAATTATTAATAAAGTAATCAAATCTAGAATAAAATTTATTATTTCATGTATTTTAGATTACTAAATCCATATTATTTAAGCAGTTTTTTATATTAATGTTTAATTTTCTATATATAATTTGTGAAAAATGGTTTAAATTTTTTCTAATATTACTACTAAAGGATCTTTTTTCTAATGGGCATGAAAAAGTGTACATTTTTCTTTCAAATATACAAAAACACAAAATTTCTATTTCAATAAAAACAACTTGAATTTATAAAATAATGAAATCATGACAAAAATGTATCAAACATTAAAATAAAATAAAGTAACAGTCAATTTTAACAATAAGAATCTTATGAAATTTTCATAAAATAATACAATAATGATCATTATTGTATATGTTACTATTATAGAATAACTATAATATTTTTTTTGTCATATAATATTTTAGATCATTTTTGCAGTCCATGAATAATATAATGATATAATATAATATAATAGGTAATATATATATTATATATTAATATATTATATATATATTTATATACATTATATATATTCATTATATATAATATATATAATTAATATATGTAATATATATAATATAATATATATTTATAATAATATATATATTATATATATAATTTGCAATATAGAGATATAGAATATGCATAAAATAATCAGTTGACAATAATTTCTATTATTATCCAATGATCAAGCATAATTGTTACACATAAACTTAAAACGTCGTAATAAGCCCTTGCACCTTTATAACAAAGAAAGGTGAGCTCTTTCAGCCACAGGCACCAGGTTATATGTCCATCAAAGTTTAAAATGGTAATTGATTTAAATGACACTTGCTTATAATATTGTTCTCGCATAGATTTTTCATTATCAACAAAAGTTTAAGCATTTTACAAGGATTAGTCCACATATTACAGTTTTTTCTTCTGTTCCATATTTCTTTTTTTCTTTCATTTTTAATTTGTACGTTTAAGAAACACCTTTCGATGAATAGCACGCAACACCACACTATATGCTTACAACTCAGCAAGGTTACCCAATATCCCTTGAAATTGAATTGCGTTCCTCTTCATAGTAGTTACGATTAGATAATATTCATGATGCCGACGCGACGCTAATTATCATACAAGTTGATTATTTAACAGAAGGAAATAGTCTCAATAATGAAAGTTTTGTCACAGGAATTAGAAGCCTTTTGTGTATCCAAGAAAGCAAAGATAAGTAGTAAGACGATAATTAGTCGTAGCGTGCTTTCTTTATGATGATTACTATTATGAACAGTATTATATTTTTGTTGTATCCATTGCTACTGGCGTGAACCTCCTCTGCCTCTACCACGACCACCATCTCGATCCTATAATGATAGAATATATTATTTATCCCCCCCCCCAAAAGAAAATACAAATTTTATGCTAATTAATTTGGAACTTTTAAAATATGTTGTTACTTACTTTGCGTTGATGATGTAAATGCGATTGATGAGAATGATGATCCCTTGATAAATCTGAATGTCCTCTATTTCTATGATTGGAAGAATGATGATGTTGTATAGCATTTGCTGGAGCTTTACGCTGATCTTCTTCTGCTTGTTTACGCTCATAATGTCCAAAATCATCAAAAATACTAGTTGAATGCCGATAAGTATGTAATATACGTAGCACTGTTACACCTTTTGCATGAGGGACTTCCTGTGCATCCCTTGAATTAGTCACTGGTTTATTCTCATTGTTTTCTAGTCTAATGTGACGAAGTTGCACATTAGGAACATCTTTGACATAAATCCAACGTACACGAAATTGACCTTTCCATTTATCTTGAGACCATACAGAACTGTTGCTTTTATAATCAACAGGTGACACCATTTGTGCCATACCACAAAAGTGACCAGATCCATTAACAGAAAAGAATAAATATAAAGGTGCACCTTCACGACTGGCTTCTTTATATGCTTGATCCAATCTTTTATTACCATGTTCAGTACTACACCAAATCTCATATTTAATGGATCTATGAATATCATCTTCAGAATAAGACTTGATTACAAAAAACCTAGCTCCAGGAGCAGTTTCATCAAATTCTACAGGATTATAATCATTTTTTACTTTTAATTCATCTAAAACAGGATGTGACTGTGATTGTGTAATTTGCTGTTGTTGTGGCTGTAGTTGTTGCTGCTGTTGCTGTTGCTGTTGTTGTTGTTGTTGTTGTTGTGGAGGCATATGAATCTGTGATTGTGGTGGTGATGGAGGTGTTGTAGGTTGTCTATTCCAACATGGTGGAGGAGGAGGAGGTCTTTGTCTCTGAGCCAATGGTGGAGGTGGTGGAATAGGAGGCTGTACTTGTGGTGGTGGAGGTGCTGTTGGAGGAGGTGCAGATGATTTACCTTCACCCCATGTTCCAATGTCCATATTATGTTTTCCTGGCACAATAGGTGGTGGTGGCATTCCAGCCTTTTTTTTCATTCCTTGAGAAGATGAAAGTGGAGGAACAGGCTTTGCAGGTTGACTTGCAACACTTGCCCATGTTATTTTTCTAGGTTCTTTTGTTTCTGACTTTATTGATTGATTTGATGAAGTTTGCTGATCTTGACGTGGAACTTCACCACTTCCTAGTGACAAACCTTGCACACTTTGTTCAATAGTCTTAATTTCTGCATTACTAGGTGTTGGATAATTTTCATTTCCACGTGGAGCCTGATAATAATCTTCATAGCGTGTTTTTCTTGGAGTGCCCCAAGCACTAAAATCACCATTTCCATGAAAGTAATTAAAAGCAGGTTGACCAAATGTACTAAAACCACCTCCTGCACTAGCAGAGAACATTCCATCCATGCCATATGCATCATGACCTATTTGACCTCCATAGCCAGAAAGAAATGCAACGGGATCTGTTCCATTTGACCAAGTACCATCCCCAGCACCAAATGTTTGATAAGGGAATGAAGTACCTGCATAATAAGGACTATATGGGTCACCAGTCCCAATTGGATAACTTGAATGATGTGTACTGTTGCCTCCTCTCCATGAATCAAATCCAGAATCTTCTCCACCAGCATGATCTGTCTGTGCCTGCTGCTGGTGTTCTTTAGGACCATTGCTCACTATCAGTATGAAATTTTATTTTATTAATATGTGACATGAATTCTTCTTGATAAAGTTATATAAAATTGATTTTTCAAAAACTTAAACAATTTCTAATTAAAATAATATTTTAATATATAATAACAATTTAGTTATTTTAATATATAATAATTATTATATTTAATATATAATAATTAATATAATAAAACTATATATATTTAATAATTAAATATCATAAAAAACATATAATTTACATTTAATAAAATGTAATAAATATTTTTATGATAATTTAAAAGTAGTAATAATTATATATAATAGTAATAGTAATAGACTACATAACATAATAAAAATTATTATTAAAAAATTAAAAAATTTTTTTATTAAAATAAAAATAATTTTTTTTATATTTTTTCTTAACTTGTATAAATTTTTTTCAAATAATTAATAAACTATATATATAAATTTTGATATATTAAATATCATAATAAATAAAAATAAGATAAATTATAATTAATATAAGTATGTTTTTTTGTAGGTTTTTATCTTTTAGGAAGATATTCATGCTAAATAAAGAAAATATTAAATAACAGATAATTAAAAATGATTCTCTATTATAATATTTTAAATATTATAGGAAAATATTAATTATAATACATAATATACTAATTTTTTCAAATTTAATAATTATAATTTATATGAAATAATTTTGATAAATTGATAATTTCAATTTTTCACTAAAAAAAATTATGTAATATTTTAAATATTTCACTTATCGTATTACGCCGTCGATATAAGCATATTATTTTAAGATTATTTTAAGATTTCTATTTAATATTAATTGTAACATATATATAAAAAAAAATAATTTTAAATATACTTAAAAAATAAATAATAAATTAATAAAGTTTAAATAATTCTATTAGTAACCAAACATATTCAAATATATACTAAAGCATAGATAGGTTAATGCACTATGTATATACTATACTTATATAGAAATCAGCTAAAAATATAGATAATAAAATTTTATATTAGTTAAAAAAATGCAGACTTCAATTTATCGTGATATCAAACTTTATTGAAAAAATTGCATACAATAAATATAAAATCTAAATATTTTTTTTAAATAAAAAAATCTATGCAATCATATATTTAACTGTTTAACTTCTATAATGAACTATATCTTACAAAGAACATTACTAAATGAAATATTTAAAAAATTGTATGAGGATAGGAAATCTCACCTTGACTGTTGGTTTGTCCTTTCATCCGCTGCATTCCGTTGCATGGAAAAATATACAAAATTTAGAATGGCTGTCTTCAGTGAAAGGTAAGTATCTGCAGTATAGCGGTGTGGTAGCAAGTCAACACACTGACCTGATTTGAAACAGCACCTGCCAATCCAGTTGACATAACCTGTCACACACTCTGTCTGCCCTTCACAGACGCCAAATAGACGGCTGTGCCTTAATAAAATAAAGTTTTCAAACGCAATACCACAATTACATACAACAGCGTTATACCACTCAAGTACGCGGGCACTTCTTTCTAAAGAGAAATCTTCAACTTTAAAATTCGCTATACCTGAGACCTCCGCGTTTCTTCCTGTAATGTCTTGCCGCGAGAGAGTCTCAGGAATTCTTTTTGTTACACTTCGAGACAAATAAATTTGCACAGAATTCTCAACTCCGAATAATAACTACGTGACGTGCACTGACCTCTCGTATATATTAACAGATTGTCTAACATTCGCAACGATAAGGTCCCTATATGACTTCTTTAAATAATGTTTATTTTACAATGTAATTGAATCATAAATTAAATAAAAAATCTTTCTTTGCAATATTTTTATATGTAGTTTTTAAATTTATCGTTATTAAATGTTAATATCTTTTTTATTACATACCATAAACATTTTTTTTATGTTCATATTTACTAGTTCTTACTACGGTATTAGAGCTAGAGAATCAATGTTGAGTATGGTCGTGTTTCGTATTATAATAAATCTATTTTATACTTATACATTAACGAAGAATTAATTTACACAATATATAATATAATATTTTCATAAATAAAAAAATATTATATATACTTATATTATGTATTATTATATAAATATTACATAAATTTATATAAATTTTATATAAAAATTTTAAGTGATTTTATAATATTAATGTTTGTAAGAAAAGTGTAAAACTTTAATAATTTATAAAATTTTTAATTATATTATTATATTTAATTTATTGATGTAATATTATAAATATTTTTCAAAATATTATTGTACAAGTGATATAAAAAAATAATGTTTAATTTTTTCTTTTTATTATAGAACGAAAAAAATAAATCATTAATTTAATATAGTAAAAATATTATATATAATATCATATATAACAATATATATATATATATATATAAAACAAATATATTTATTGAAATATCTTAAATTATTTTTTTTAATTAATTTTTAAATTTAAATTAAATTATATTTAGTAATTTTTAAATATAGAAAAATGTAATATTATAAATAGGTTAAAATAATATCAATTGCGTTATAATAATAGTAATAATTTATTCATTTACAATAATAATTTTTATAATTATAACTTATTATGGAATAATTCATTTTTAACAATCAATAATATTTTAAAACAAATGAATAATGTAAGAAATAATATTATAATAAAATAAATACTTAATATTTTATTAATGCATTTTCTATTTGTCTGTTATTTTGTATATATTTGTAGTGATTATTTTTAACTATTATTTTTATTATAAATATATATATATATATATATAATAAATATTAAATTATTATTATTTAATAAAATCAATGTAAAATTATTAATGTCATTTTATTTATTCACTGTTAGATATGCAGTTAACATACTATATAAAAAAATTATTATTAACATGGATTATTTTTACATTTGTTGATTACATTAAAAATAAGAATACACAAGAAAATATGTCTTATTTATTTTAATTAAAAAAAAAATAACTGATTATTAAATTTCAATATATTTTAAAAATTTTGATCAAATTATGAAACTAACAAAATCTCAAAAATAATTTATAATCTCAATGTTTATAATAAATATATAATATATTAATTATAAATTATAAAAAAAAAATTAGAAATATTCATTATAATCATTATAATCTAAGTTATAATAAATTATTAACAAATTAAACAAATAATATATAAAATAAAAGAAAATTATTATATATCTATTTTATTCATTTTTCATAATATATTGTATTATATAAATATACAATGAATATCATAGCCACAAAAAATGTGTCAAACTTAGTATTATTATTCTAAATATTTATAATAATCGATTTTTAACAATTTTGTCAATGTATTGATACAATATATTTTTAGTTATACATGATTAAAAAAAGTAAATAAAGAAAAAGAAACGAAATTTCAATTTCAATATCTAGAATTTCATAACATTTTTGTTACTTTTACAAATTTACAATTACTTATTATACTGTACTTATATCTAATATTTGTTTTCAGTTTATTATTTTGATATTGAAATATTACATTTTTGTGTAAAATGGATTTCTTAATAGATCTTTAACATAAATGTCAAAAAAATTCATTTTCTGACTTGAAATTAATGCAAATTATTTTATACAAATATACTTAGATATTCAACTTCAATTATTTAAAAAAAATTAGTATAGTATATATTCAATACTTATATATATTAAGAAATAGTGTAAGTAAGGAAAAGTTTCAATTCATTTTAAATAATAAAAGATATAAATATAACAAATTAGGTTTTATAAGTTAAATATTTAAAAATTTAATTATGATATTTTCATGTAAATATTGAAAATTATTTAGTTTTGAATATATACAATACATTTATTTTGAACATTTTATAATTTCATATACTCAATATAGAGTCTTTGGTTATAAATTTTTTCTTAAAACACAGGAGACTTTTGATAGACTATCTTGCATTATATGGATGAACAGCACCATTTTTCACACAAGAGAAATCTTTTATACTTTCTTAATGTAAACTCAGTTTCTTGTTAACCATGAAAAAGCTTTAAGAATTAAATATGTTAATGTTAATGCATATAAAATTTTTTCTCTTTGTTGACGCTGCAACATTTCAAGTTCAATAGCCATTACTCGACGATTTAATTTCCCTACTTGTCGACGTAAGTGTTGTATCTCTTCACTAGGTGGAACAGAAACATTAAGTGCATTATATGAAGCTGTCTGTTCTCTAGAAAAAAAAATTACATATATTTTCATAAAAGTACAAAATATATAGTATAAACTCATAACTTTTAATATTTTATGCTAAATTTAATTTAGAAGGAGAATGTTTTATATATTTCTTGTATTAATATAAATTTAGCAAATGATATCTTTAAAAATAATAAAAATAATTGAAATGATCAATGTTATATATCTATTTTGTATATATAGTATATATAGTTTTATATTAGATTAGAAAATATTAATTATTTTTTATACAATTATTACCTAGCATGCCTAACTATTTGTGTTTCTGTAGGATATTGTCCATGTGATCTAGAAACTAAAGAATCCTTAGTTTCAGTTGAAAAGGAATTTGGTTCCTCTTCATCAACTGCCGGAAAATAATGATTATCCAACGTCAAAATCCTTGGTGGAGTCTATCAATATAATATAAAATTTTAGATATTATTTCACATATTTATTATTGAGAAAGCCTTTATTAAATAAAATTTAAAAATAATTTTCTTATTTGGATATATTTAAAAATTTCAAATATTTACCTGTACTCTAACCATGCCTGGTTCAGATGGTAAAACAGCATTTTCTAATGTAATTTCTCTTGGTGGTGCTCTAGTTCCAATATGCTGTTCTTGTCCTGTATGTTTGATGAATTAATATTATTTTTGTTTATTTTTTTATAATTAATCATTTTAAAAAATACTTTAAATAAAAAAATAATTTAATTATAAAAATTGATATGTAAATATATTTATAAATATATATGTGTAAAACATTAAATAAACATTAATGAACATTAAATATTTACCAACAACTAAAATTCTATCTGGAACATGCATTTCAAATTTTTCTCCTGCAACTATCTGATTCCAATTAGAACCATTTGTACCATTTATTTCTTCATCTGTGTAATCGCCGCTCACACGAATACTTTTTGGTACACGCATTCTTTTATTAATATCCAAAGTAAAATTTGGGTCATAAAAATTGTCAGCTTCTCCATTGAAAACAGTAGGACTATGTGCTTTTGACATTATAACTAAAATAATTAAAAACAAAATTTATAATTGTATCTCTTTATATTTTTTATTGAAATTGTTATATACTGAGTTATAAAAATTATTATTTAAAATAATATATATAAATAAAACAATAAATTTAGTATTTTTATCTTAAAAACTAAATTAAAAATAAAATTTAATATAAGTGGAAAAGTACTATTATTTATTAAATATAATAAATTATATTTTATTTATTAATTATTTATTAATTATATTTTAAAAAATTAAGAAATGAGAATTATTTTTATTTTTATTAATTATTAAGAAAATAGTTATAAAATAGTCCGATAAATATTTTAATAAATTATATGTATTTAGTAATTTTACTCTAGAATGAAAAAATATAATGACGACATAAAAAAATATGTGATTAAATTTTACGTAGCATTAATAAAATAAAAACAAATGAATATTGTAAATCAGATCATTAATAGTACATATTATAATAAAATATTATATGCGTAAAATACTTAAAGTTTGAATAATTACCTTTCTGTAACTTTTCGATCGTTGAACACAAATCTTTCGCACGAAGTTGACAATATATGTTATACTCATCTGCTAAAGTCGAGATTATAATATCGAGATAAATCGATATAGAAATATATCGATTCTAATTCCCGCCGAAATAAATATATCTGCCATTAAAACCTTAACCAGTGTTATCAATTTCTTTCTTCTTATTAATTTTTTCATTTTATTTTTTGAAGATATTATTTTTAATATTTTATGATATTTTAATTTAATAATCTATATTAGAATAATTTATTGGAAAATATGAGTGACACCCAATGTAAATTTTTAGAAAATTTATAAAATTAATAAAATTTATTGTTTTAAAATTTACTTATCTAAATTATAAATTAAATTATATACATTTATTATATTTATTATTGTATTTAAATATTGTATAAGATTTTTAGTAACAATTTTAAAGTTATTAAAGTTGTTAAAAATTTTTAATTTAATTTTTCATTTATTGTTTTATTTAATATTTTATTGTTTTAAAAGAATTTTATAAATATTATGATTAAATATTTCAAGATTTTTATTTTTGATATAAAGTTTGAAATTTTATTAAATTATTATTAAATTTTGCAATATATTTATACAATATATATTTTATTAAAATATTTATTTTACATTATACTATATATTATAATAATTATAAATGTAGCAGGTAGAACTAAACGTCAAAAGATTGATAAAACTGGAAGATTGTCAGCTTTAGAAAAGTTAAAACAATTAAAAGGTAGTAAAAATAAATATGAAATTGATAAATTAGAAAATGTTTATGAAGAAGTTGATGAAAAAGAATATACTAAAACTGTAATAGAAAGACAAAATGATAATTGGATTATTGATGATGGTAATAACTTTATATATCTACAATAATAAATATAATAT